TATATATATATATATATATATATAAAATGAGGAGGGCTAAAACTCGAAAAAAAAATTACACGGAAATATTATGAGTCAAAAAAAGACACATTACACCTCTTAAAAGGGCATGTACATATTGAAAATGAATCATTAATTGTAATATTAATGAATTTTAATGTCATTGTGTAACACCCCAATTTCTTTAAAAGGATATTTTTATTCTTCCGATCTTAACACTCCTTACCCAAAATCGCAACAATTTTCCATTAAAATATTTGATCAAGACACCAGAGTCCTTACCCAAAATCGCAACAATTTTCCATTAAAATATTTGATCAAGACACCATAGAGTCGCAAACATGGTATATTAGCTTAATCATTTTACCTTCCAGAAACTCTGAACTTTATGGCATTTTAGGCTCCAAGCTATGTGGACATATACAGTGTCACCCAAAATGAAGCCGTATAATGTACACGCATATGGTTGTATTATCACTAGTTCGTTTTATTGTTATTGGAGAAGTTTTATCAATGAGAGTTGGATCTCTTTTATCTTTTACCTTGTAGGCCATAGTAACATGATTAGGAATTCATTGGTTAATACAGAGGACATGGGGCTATAGATCTACAAAATTCATCTTATGATTTTAGTTTTATTGAGCTTTGTTGTCTGTGCATTATTGACAATGTTGGTTTTTGTTCAATCTTATATACTGTGATTGCTCCTTGCAGGGGAATTGACTTAACTAGATGGAGAGAACTTCGAGGAGAAAGAGGAGAAGTGGCTGATTTGGAAAGATTTGTTCAACATGTACATGGAAATCATTTTATACCAAACACGGCATTAGTGGACTGCACGGCTGACACTGGCGTTGCTGGCTATTACTATGACTGGTTACGCAAAGGAATACATGTAGTTACTCCTAACAAGAAGGCAAATTCAGGACCACTTGATCAGGTAAAGTAATCCATATTGTCCTTTTGATGGATAACATGTTCTTGTCTGTTGACTTATCTCCTGAAATCAATGCTGTAGTATTTGATCAAGACACCAGAGTCCTTACCCAAAATCGCAACAATTTTCCATTAAAATATTTGATCAAGACACCATAGAGTCGCAAACATGGTATATTAGCTTAATCATTTTACCAAAAGTGATATTGTGTGCTACTTGTTTAGCTGAAAAACTTCCAGAATCTTTTTCTCAGAATTCTCACTTTTTTGACTGGAAGACTTTTCTTTGTAGAGATTCGTTCCCTTACAAGCATTTTACATCTCCATGTTTAAATATGTTGGGATAACTTTATTTTATCTTGTTAACATACTGGAATTGTAATAAGTGGCAAATTCACATGACAATTCTTTTAATGCAGGCCTCTACCCTGAAAGAAGAATTTAACATTGATTTGCGTGTAATGGGCATACTTGGCTCAAAGTCAATGCTTCTTAGTGAAGCGTAAGTTGAATCACTCTGACTGAAATATATATTTGAATGATAATTAGGCTTTCTTATTTGTACAGTTAGCCCTCTATGTGAGAAAGTGGACTTCATTTTACACTTTACTTCTTTTATCTTTTTTGGAAGGCTTTATTGCCTATTATATATTATTTATGTATTCTTATTGGGATAAAAAAAGAAAAGTATTAGAAGGAAAGAAAAGCTTGAAAGGAATTTCCTGAAGAAAATCAAATGAAGGCGAAAAAAATCAAATACAAAAGATGTTTCCAATCCTTCCGTGTATGGAAGAAACCAAAACCCTGAAAAGAACCAAATTAGCATAATAACACTCCTTACCCAAAATCGCAACAATTTTCCATTAAAATATTTGATCAAGACACCAGAGTCCTTACCCAAAATCGCAACAATTTTCCATTAAAATATTTGATCAAGACACCATAGAGTCGCAAACATGGTATATTAGCTTAATCATTTTACCTTCCAGAAACTCTGAACCATTGTCTCAAGAGAAATTATAGTACACTATTTTTAATTATCACAGTAATGAGTTAGCAAGAAAACACACATACATAATATACTATAATATGACCCAATTTTCATAAAAGAATGAATTTATCATCTTTTTATGTGTTTTATTATAATTATTTAATTTTGAAAAATATATTAACAAGATTTAGAAAGATAAAAAAAAACAACTTTATATGAATCAAAATTAAATTCATTTATTTTATTGAGAATGAAAACATATTATAAAATAGTATTAAAAGGATTATAAGAATACGTTTATTTAAAAGGAGTAACTTATAATTTATCTCCTCACTATTTTGTATGATATTCACTACAAAAAAGTGCTATAATTACAAGAATGCTAAGTATAAAAAGAAATTATAATTAGTTATGACATATATGGTTTTTAACATTCTAAAATTTTAAAATTATTAAAAGGATATATATTTTAATTTATTAAATGAGTTTTATAAATTATTTTAGAGACTTTTGATTATTATGAGTGTTTTTAATTAAGTAACAAATATTTGCAACAATATTTTGTATATTATTAAAAAAAATATGTGTTTTAATTAGTTATGTAATTAAATGTATTTTAGAAAATATTTTTATTGTATTTTATTTTATTTATAATTGTGTTAGAAGAAATATGTTTATTTTATATTATTATAATTTTTAATATATGAGGAAAAAGAAGTGTGACCATGGTAAGAGTTATTATACTAAAAGGTTAAATGAGGGTCAAGTTTTTAAAAAGGGATTACAAAATTTTTTATTTTTTTATATTTCTCATCTTTTTCATTATAAGTGTATGTTCTAAAAAATGGGAAGGGGAACCTGATTTTGTGAGATATCACACTAGAGATTCACGTCCTTCGTCTAGTACTCATCGTGGTAAAGGAAAAGTAAGTAGTCTTACTCTGAGTGTGAAATACATGTTGGGTAATGAGGTTAGTCCTTAATCTCGTCTTTATTATTCGCATGTTGTGAAAGGGAGAAATCTCAATTATGATTTGTGATGATATTTTGTCTGTCATATGACTCTTAAACTATTTAATTGAAGCTACTATATATCTATATGGTTAATTTTGCACATTGAATTTATTTTGTGTAACTTGAGTTGTTTGTGAATTCAAATGAGAACTTTAACAAAATGCGTTTGGGTGAAATTATGTGAGTAGTTAATAACAGTATGTAATTATATGCACTATATGTGATGTTTGAATTATAATATTAGTATTTGCATGTAATTTGAATTAGTTGGGGATCTATGAGTATTTGTAATTTTAGTAGGAAACCCTTCATTTATAGAGCAAGGCATAGATTGATGTTGTATGAATAATTAAAATTAATGCTGGACTCGAGTAATTGATAGTATAATAAAGTAATTTTAGGATTTAATATATGTTTTTATATATTGGATTGGGAGAAGTGAGTTTTAGTTAGAGTTGTGCTTT